CTATGACCTGTATCCCAAACACACACCATGTGAAACTGTACGTGGGCAACTGTGCACTCAATGGGTATTAATGAATCAGGAATGAGTTCAGTCTGAAGACAGATTTGTTTTGGTTACATTTGTAATGGCAATAATGTTTAAACTTATTTGTGCGTCTACAGCCTTTTAGCATACTTTAAGGCATTAGCAATCCAATCCAATCCAACTTTATTTGTAAAGCACTTTAAAACAACTACAGAGTACCAAAGTGCTGTACAGAAGAATAAATAAAAGACAAAACAGCTTGCATAAGGCATAAAATACAAGTAAAATAAACAAACATTTGTAAAAAAAAAAAAAAAATAGCAGCTATACAATAAAAACAAACAATAAAGCAAAATAAAATCAACATCTTACAGGGTGTCAAAGGCCAGGGAGAAGAGATGGGTTTTAAGAAGAGATTTAAAAATAGACAGAGAAGACGCCTGTCTAATGGCAGATTGTTCCACATTTTAGGAGCTGCCACAGTGAAAGCACGGTCCCCTCTGAGCTTGCACTTAGTTTCTGGCACAGTCAGGAGCAGCTGATCAGCTGACCTGAGTGAGCGGGTAGGTGAATAGGTATGCAGCAGCTCAGAGAGGTAGGGCGGGGCAAGACCATTGAGGGATTTAAAAGCAAATAAAAGAATTTTAAAATGAATCCTAAAGTATATGGGCAGCCAGTGGAGCAGTGTGAACATTGTATGAACTGAGGTGATTACATAATATCTGACAGAAGGACAGCCTTATTATTCCAGAGGAGCCTTTCGTTTGTCAATCACGAGGATCACTGTGTAAAAAATGACACCACGCTCTGACAGGCTGATTGTTACCAATACTCATCATCATCCAAATGTTCATTGAATATACGAAAACCTTCATTTTATTGATTTAACATCTCAGTCATAATACAGTCACAGGTATGTGCAATGCATTTCTAATTTTGCCAGATTTCATGCTTGACTGATGCTCCAGGATTTAAAGGCACTTCACTTGACCCTCTGTGCAATTTGTACATTGGTGAGTTATTACGTAGCCTACATGTTTCAAATTGATACACTCAGATCATTTGGAGTACAGGAGCCGTCTTTAAGATGTTTCTGAACTTTATCAAACATCTAAACACTTTAAAAACAAGTCTTCAAAGCTCATTTTCTGGATGACCCAAATAAATTCTGTGATGTCGGCAGGATTATTTGGAGCAGTTCTCACTTCATGAATCATGTAAGCAGACAGACTACACACAGTATTTACAGTAGAGGCAGTATTGAGCACAGCATGTTAATTTAAAGAGATGCAACATACAGAATGCAACAACTTTATCAATTCATTTCAAAAAGACACATTTTTGTACTACAAATTGTAGCCCACAGACATAACTGTGCATTACAAAATGCGCTCACTGCACACACTGACAGGAGTTTCTGTCTCCTGAAACAGAAATTCAGATCTGCTCTGTGAAACATATTTGAGATGCTGTATAGTAAATGTGGGATGCTTTATCTTTCTATCTTTGGTCCTTATGACCTGCACTTGAACCTCACACTAGCATTTACTTTGGTGGCATTTATAGTTTGACTTGACATTACTCTGTAGTCCACTCTACTCCACAATATTTTTCTCCTCAGAGGTTCACATTACAGGGGCTTTGAAGTGGTAAGAAATTATGAATGGCTGGTTGAAATAAAGGTTATAAAATATAATATGGTGCAATTTCAGCATCACTAATTTCCAACGTATGCTAGTCATGGTTGAAACAAAACCATCATGTTAATGAGTTTCTTGAGTCCCTCGCTGGTGTGAGCATGTGAGCACACACTTTCTCTTTCACTCTCTTTGCTCTCTGGAAATCCCCTCTAACTTACAGTCTAGAGTTCAGCTGACGCAGATAAGTAACGGAGTAAACAACACTGGACAGAAGACCAAGCAGCTGAACCAGCTCTATGAAGACAAGATGAAAAAGTTATTTTTGATGCTTTTTCTCTGTCACTTTTCATCAGCAGGTAAGATCATATTTGAAATCTTTAACTTTCCACTTGCTCTGTATTTTGCTCCTGCGTAAAGACACTCTTGTGATTTTGTTTCACCTCAACTCCATAAGATTGTATGTTTTAACTGAATCCTACTAACATATGGGGCTCTAGTTTCCCAGCGCGGCGCAGGGTGGCGAACCCCGCGCAGAGCTCGTTTCGAACAGCGAAACCCGAGGCGCGCTTAGTTTGGTAGTTTGGCAGACTGAGGTGCGCTGATGGGTGTGACGGCGCAGCAGGGGGAGGTGTTGACAGATCCAGCTTGGAGCAGTGACAGTTTCGTGCCAAAAGGCTTCGCTGAAGGTGCGCTAAAAGCTCGCCAGCTGAAACCACTGTCAGCGCAGGGGGAGCGCAGCCGGTGTAAGCCGAAGTTTGGCTGACCGGCGGACAGTGTGCACACGTCACCAAAACCTCACAGGCAGTTTTCCAGAATATCAGGCACATTAACAATGCAACAAATAGCCAAAAAACACTATTCAATGCAACTATCTGCAATCAGCACATAAATCTATCTCTATATGACTGTCCTGTCACATCTGATGTCAGATCAAAGGGGATTGGCACCGTTTGGCACGGTTTGGCAGGCGTAATGGAAACCCAACCTGATTTGATTAACACAGCTGCAAATTAATGAGTTCACATCCCTCTCAGCCAACCACAAACAGCCACAGCATCAGATAGGGAGTATATATTCAGCATCTGTCATCTTAGAAAAGTCAAAAGAAAAGAAACCGCGAGAGAGAAAGAGAGAGCACACACGCGTGCAAGAGAAACGCATCATTGATTTACAATTGTGGTGACCTCCTCCCAGGCTACCTTTGCATCATCAGCCCGTGGAGGTCTGCTCACAGTTCCGTATATTCGGACACTGCGAGCTTGGACCTCCCGGACCAAAACATCAGTTTTCTCCTGAGAGAAGTTTGGCCGTCTGACGCTGCTGCTCTCTTCTGCCATGGCGAATTGAGTAAACTCTCATTACGCCTTCGCGCGGCGCATTTAAGCGCGAGGAGAGGGGCTCATTTGATTGGTGTGATGTTTGTAAAACCATAGACATATATACATAGACGGCTCATTGACTGCCGCTGCCTATCAGAGCCGACGTCCTCGCCGGCCGCCATCTTGGATGGGTCTCGCTTCGCCTCCACAGTGCATTCACTTCTATTGAGGAAGGAGCTGTATGCACAAGTAAAATAGAATAACTCACTGAATTTTCAACTGATTTTCACGAGGTTTGGTTTGTTACAAACGGCACACATGTAGTTATGATACAGGATGCTTTCGTACATTAAAAATGTGGGATTTCATGCTTTAATACTTTCTGCAGATAGCAACAGCATGTTATTTAGGTCATAACACAGTTATTTTATTCACCTCAACCCCAGAGTGGGATATATATATACATATATATATATATATATATAAAT